GAACTTAAATTTTTCATAGAAACTTAATTTAACATTTTCATTTATATTACATAACCATTTTTGAGACATCTTTGAGTCTTTGTACAAAAGAATTTACAAACATATGCGCATTTCCAAAACCTTGATTCAGCCAAGCAAAACCAAAACCATACTCAAACAAAATGTCTCTAACAAATCCAAGCCATGTTTGTCTACCAACATTATCAAGAGAGTACATCACTTTATAACAAATAAGTGGATATCTACAATCTGGCATGGACAATACTTTCAACCAGTATTTAATACATTTTGTTTAATACATGCTCACGTCTCATGTGATGAGTAATACTTGGCTGTGTGCAAATTTTCTTAATCAAATGTAGATGCAAGAACTCCAAAACTCGCATCGACAGGGATTCATTAGAGTTACATTTTTCGCCACTGACATTGGAACGTTGACATGACTCGATCCATCGATGAGGTTTAAGAAACTAAAAGAAACAAAATCATTCTTTTAGATAATACATTAATTACAGCATCTAAATATGACTTTTCTGAATTTTCAAATATAAGATTTCAAGATTATCAAATAGAGCACTTCAAAATTGTCAGGTAAAACGTTTGAATAATGTCAGACAATGCATTTCAATAACGTGCTTCAATAACAGCTTTCTATCAAAATTACACAATAATAATGGTCAAAGTATTCCGAATGATAAATCCAACAACATATACTATTCAAATATTATGTAAAGCGCACAAGATATGATTAAAAGTACTCACATTTTTGTTGCTATACAGAGAGGTTTGCAGACAGCCAAGTGACCATATGGATATCACCGTGAATCAGACTTTGCATGAAGATTTTGTGCAAGGGTTAGGTCATGTGATAATCATTAACGAAAGTGAGGCTATATATACTGAACAACATTGAAAACGCACCAGTCTAAAATTGTCCATATTTTCATCAAGATGGATTTCAGCATGACAATGATCAATGAATATAACTAACATGAAGTCGAAGGGCATGTCCAGTTGAAAAAATGCTTTAAAAACAAATTCCTGTCCACAGTATGACTCTTAATTCCAAAATGCATCAACATGCAGCCACGCCATGAAAAAAGCGCAAATTTCATTCTGAAATTATACTGACTGTGACATTAAAAGCAGGTGTATGGGAACCGATTCTTATTATTTCACTAACGATTGTGAAACGAGGACAGTGGTGCCGAGGTTAACACCTCACGAAAGAGAACGTGCACTAGGCATGATTCAGGTTGGCACCAGCAGCAGGGATATTGCTCAACAACTTCGAGTTGGCCACTCCACCATCGTTAGGCTTCATAGACGACATCAGTAGACCGGCAGCACCCGTGACCTTCAATGATCTTGGCAACAACGTGTTACGACGCTCCATCAGGATCGCCATATTGACCATGTCCATATCAGTGATTGAACACTGCCGACTGCCAGGACTGCTGCACTAGTTCAAGGTTGACGTGGGGGTCATCAGCGCTGACTCCATGCGACGCCGTTAACACGCTACAGGGCTCCATGCTCGACGTTCTCACGTTGGACCAATTCTGACTGACAGACACCGTAATGAGCGTATACAATGGGCTAGCAGGCATTTTCAGTAAAGGTTACAACACTGGCATGGTGTGGTAGTCACTGACGAGTCACGTCTTCATCTACGTTATGCTGACGGCGTAGACGTGGTGAACGTTATGCTGATGAGTGTGTGGTTCAGACAGACCTTAGGGTGGTGGGAGTGTCATGGTCTGGGGTGGAATAAATTACAATCACAGGACTGCCTTCATGTCTGTCAAGGGAGAGTTAATGCCCTTTATTACCGTGTGCAGATTCTTCAGAATCACATCGTATCTTTCTTCAATCACCACCAAGAAGTCCATACCTTTCAACAGGACAACGCACGGGCACACACAACAAGACTTTCCATGCAGTATATGGCCCAGCAACACATCAGGTTATTCATTGGCCAGCACAGTCGCCAGATGTATCCCCAATGGGGCACTTATGGGACGAAATTGGTCAAAGTCTTTAGCGGCGACAACAAATGCGAAACATCCGGGAACTTGAGGCTGCACTACTGCAGAAGTGGAATGCCATCCTCAATAACTCTATTCGGACGCTTATTGACTCAATGAGGAGACGTTGAAATGCATGTGTCAATGCAAATGGCGGTCACACGCGATATTGACTTTTCCATTTGACCCCACGTGTGTTTGATCCTTTCTGACTGTGGAACATTTCAATGAATGAGCGTCTTTTCTGTGTTGCTGTTTTAGTCAGTCGTCCATCTGTAATTATCCACTCCAAAAACATCAATTCCTTACACGTGCTTTTAATAATCTCAACTTTTATAAGTGGTGCGTTTTCAATGATGTTCAGTATAAAAACTGATTAAATTTGGAAAAGTTTTGCCATTATGCTGGATTTGAACCCTAGCATTTTGGATTTCAAGTCTAGTGTGTTAACCACTAGGCAATCGCACAAGACGCTCATATATGGCTGGTTGAACATTACTGAGTAAAATAACAGATTCATTGTCTTGCCTTCAAGCACTTCAAAATGTAACTCCAAGTCCCCTGTCATCCAAGAAATTTTAGAACTTTACAACGATCTTTCTACTGGCCAACCTGGCACCGTCCTCTGTTGATTACCGGGTCACGTTGGCATAGCAGGTAACACAAAGGCCGAAGCTGCAGCTAGGTAGCTCTTGACAAGCCCTTATGTCAACCAATCAGGGGATTTGCTTCGACCACACACCCGTTTTGTGCGGACATATCGTCATCCATTTGTGTCAAGATCGTTTAGTTGAGGGTCAAAATCGGGTTTCAATCGACTTGCAGAAATAACAATAAAGAATTGGAAGGTTTCATGAGTGGTCATCGATATGCCAATCCTCCATAATTATGTTCACATTAAGTTTAAATCGATTGCATGCGATGGTAGCGTAGTGATCGGCAAAGCAAGCGGGTAGGGTGCACCCACAGGGGCGTGTCACTTGAATGCCAAGGCCATCTATGGCCGACAAGTGAGTATGATTGCCGATGGTTTTGGAGAAAATGCCTGCTTACTGTCGAGGAAATGATTTGTAGATGTTGCAATAAGTTTTTAGACCCGTGGAATGTCGCTGCCGATCGAATCTAGACTTACATAGGTGCTGTCAAAGTGACTGGAATTAATAAACGAATTTAACAGGTGAGTTTTCACTGTCTTGGGTGATCCATGTTTTTGGCTTGGAATTGCGGAGGTAGCTGTTTTCGGTGAGTCGTGGCGTATAACTTTTGAAATAATGATCCGATTGTGACCATTTATAGCTCATGTTGTAGGGAAATCATCTCGCTTTCGATCCGTAGGCCTCGACGGGGCCTTAAAAATAGTTTACGTGGTGAAATCTAAGTTTGATTGAGGAGGGGGTGGTTCTGTCGTTACATCCCTTTCCTTTTATATAGTTCTAGGGTAGGGTCTATATACCTATATGTCTTTCTAACGCTGTTTCTAAGCGTGACACGCCCCTGTGGGTACACCGATGTGTCCAGCCTTGTCATAATGTAAATTGTACTGTGAAGCATTTCGAGTCGGGGGTCGTCTCCAATGCTATAATTTTTTTAAACATCTTTAATCCTCGCAAAGACAAGAGGGCCTGTGACCGGACCTCGATCCAGCAAATGTAAACAATACATACCGGAAGTCACGTGACCCGGAATGAATACCAAGGAGGCCACACCTCCGACAGCTGTCAAAATGTGATTCCAAATAAGAATGAAGCCAAATCCTAATAATTTACAGTGCAGTATGTATGTCTCGGCTTTAGACGATTCCAATCATCCCCTGTGGAAGAAAACCCTTAGCAGAGACTGTAACTTGATAATGTAAACATAGCAAATCGGAATGACTATGGATCGCGATGACAATCAGCGACTGTCAAATCATTAAATAAACTGTAAACTGTAATATTTCATACTGACGATAAATCACTCGCGACTTGTAACTGTGACTGTACCTGTATCTGTAACCTGTACAGTTGAATCATACGATCCAGGAATATTCCGTCGGAATGAATCCGGATCGACTGTCGGATTCTCGTAACTGTCAGACGGAATGCGGATGTCAACAAAGTTGAAAATAACCCCCTATAAATCACTTATCCACAACTAGATACTTAGAGAGCAGACCAAGTATCAATAAATGTTACTTAAAAGTTATGCAATAACAATGTCTTATAATACGTACAGTAGAATTTAGCTGTGACGCAACCCAGGAACCCTACCTTGCTTGTCAAAGTCAAAATTGCCGCCCTGACGCTAACCTTGACAGCTCTATTTATAGGTTACCTAAGGTCACATGATACACAAACGTGGCGTCATAAAATCTAAGATGGTGACTGTAAACATGACTGAGGTTACTTGTGCTGGAATTTACTGTTATAACTTGATACTGTTGCTTGGAAGGGGACTGCACAAAGGTATGTCACCTTAATTAAATGCAGCATGAGGCTGGTATCATGGCTGGAATCACTTCGATGGCTGAGAGCTTTATTATCTCTGTACTTGAAGCCAAGATTAGACATGATAGTTTTGTAACAATATGTTTGCTCCAGTTTTAAAACCAACACTTACCCTTTGTCCTATATATTTGTGAATGCCTCTTACAAATGTTATATTATAGGTGAGAAAACATTTCTCATCTAAAATTTAGTTAATGGTTATTATACATCAAAAAGCAAAACATCAGTTTACCACAACATAACCTTCGTTGAGAGGCATTTAGTTATTTGGAGCGCTGAGGAAGTAGAATAAGAATATAAAATCACTTGCTTGTTAACAGTGTTTGAAGGCACACTGAAACGTCGCTCCTATTGTAATAAAGACTATTATTATTGTTCCTTTTATTCCTTAAAACGTAATCTGTCAAGACAAATATTGTAAAATACTAAAGCTTCTGTACGCCTTTAACTTTGGCTTATATGAACTGATAAATGTTCTATTCAACAGAACCTGATGTTTGTGCTTCAAGTCCATGTGGAGACAGCATCTGCATTCCTACCCGCAACGGATTCAAATGTTTTTGCAGAGGAGGTTTCTCTGGGGAAAAATGTGACGTGCCACCTGATTTGTGCAAAGACAATATTTGTAGGCAAAATGCTACCTGCCTGGCATCAGGGCTTGGATATCGATGTGTCTGTCCTCCGGGTTATAGAGGAGAACTGTGCGAGTTTGAAATAGGTATGTATCAATGATGAAAGTATTAATATACGAACAAAATATATGGGTTTGATTGATGTTCGAATGTTTTACAGGTGTCTATGCGCACCTCCATAGCAAAGGTTGGTAAAGTACTAGAAATATTATCATGAAGAAAAACTGCCACACGCTTTAGTATCAGCGAGAATCACATTCTGAACTTCATGTCAGACATAAACGTCCAGTAACTGATAGGTAAATACTGAAACCGGAAATCTAACATTGAGATATGCTTGACAATGCAGTAAATACAGAGCTTTTTTGTCAGCTGATGACAAACTGTTTGCAGAAGTGCTATATTCATAATGTTGAGATTTGTCCCAAGACAACATATTCGTAAACAAAGTGACATTCGACTGTAGAGAAATAACAAACGGGGAATGATGAATTGCCCAACTTCGTGGGACATAACGGCATTGTAGTCCCTATACCAAAGCCTTGCCGGGATCATACCGATCAGTCTAATTACAGACCAATCTCTTTAACGTGTTGTGTCTGTAAAACCATGGAACGAATGATAAACAATAAATAAACTTGGTATCTTGAAACCAATTACCTTTATATTCAATGTGGATTCAGGAAAACTCGTAGTACCATTGACCATTTGGTACGTTTAGAATCCTTTGGTAAAAACTATTCGAAAAAGCATACGGTACCACTTGGAAGCATGGCGTTTTACAGTATATTACAAAACATTATTCTAAGGAATCTAACCTTGCATTTAATTGTGTCTTCAATCCCCTCTATGAGGATTTATAAAACAATCTCTTGTCCCGCCTCTTTGGCAAATAATTAAACCATTCATTTCTGCTGCCGGCATACAGCTGCAAAATATATCTACTTCCCGACTTCTTTCTTCTCCTCCTTGGCAATTAGTGAGGACATAAGTCGACCTAACATTAACTACATTTTAAAAAAATCAAAAACTAACGAATTACAAAATAAACAAGAATTTAATCAATTAAAACAAAATATTACTGAGTCAAAAAAGAAACTTCACAAAATGTAATTTGAAAAATGGGATCCCTATCTTTCGACTCTAGAAAAACATTAGCAAAACCCACTCAAACCCATCCATTCGTCGTGCAAATGACGTTAGTGCCAAATCAGGTTTTGCACGTGCAGTCGATCACGTGATCTTCGCATCGAAGTTTTCTTCATATGCACGTGTTTGCATTGGCCTCAAGAATTGAAAAAAACACTTTTAAACCACAGTTCGAACGGTACTTGAAATGCCATGGTTGTCAAATGTGCAACGTGAACGTGCCGTTTGCATGCTGCAAGCGGGAAGATCAGTTATTGACGTCGCAAGAGCAATGGGATGCAGCCGTCGTACGGTGTATGACTTGCTAGGTCGTCTACATCAAACTGGCACCACTTCTGATCGCCCAAGGTCGGGTCGTCCACGTGTGACGTCACGAGCAGAAGACCGTCAAATCGTCCTACGTCACCTACGTGGCAGATTTCTGCCGGCTACACGAATCAGGGCTGAGATGTTGAGAGGTCGACTGTCCTCACAGACCATTCGAAATCGGTTGCGGGCTGCCAATCTCCATTCTCGACGTCCATATCATGGGCCAATATTGACGCCGTTTCATCAACGTCAACGTCTGCTGTGGGCCCAACGTCACCTCCGATGGACCCAGAGAGACTGGAATTAAGTCGTCTTTAGCGATGAATCCAGGTTTACCCTCAGATTCGCGGACGGCAGACATAGAGTCTGGAGACGACGTCGTGAACGGTATGCCCAATGTTGTGTACAGGAAGTCGACAGACGGACGTTGCATGGTGTGGGGTGCTTTCTGTGGGAACAACCGTTCCCGACTTCTGGTCGGTCATCCGTGGAAATCTCACAGCTGCTGCTTACCGCGACCAGGTGCTCACCCCTGAACTCGTTCCTTTCATGGCGGCTCATGGCCCAGGCCTGCAGTTCCAGCATGATAATGCTCGGCCGCGATGTTGACACGAAATTTCCTTCAAAACGCTGGAATCAACGTCATGGACTGGCCATCGAGGTCCCCTGACCTTAATCCAATAGAGCACGTTTGGGATGCACTTGGGAGAAGGCTTCGTGGTCTTAGGAACCAACCTCAGAATTTGCAGGAACTTGGCGCTGCCTTGCTTGTGTTAACAAGCATCAGGCAGTCGATGAAGAGACGGTGTTTGGCAGTGGTGAATGCGGGGAGGGGGTGCGACCACACACGATATTGAACTGAGAAATTTCATATTTTTATCCTTGTGACTTAACATTCTGTATACCCATGTTTTGGAACGGCGATGTAGCCTAATGGAACTGATTATGGCACTGTCAGTGTATCGAGTACATCACACAGATCTCAGAAATGAAATAATAACAATTTAACCATCTTACCATCTCTTGTTCTTTTATAGTGCCCTGAAGAAAGAATGTGAAGGTTTTTTTTGACTCAGTATATTTATGGTGAATTCAAAACTTGTTTTAGCTACGATATGGCTGAAATATTGCCGATGTGACTGTAAATCTTAACTCACTCACTCACCCCATTTGATGACATATGACATTTAGCATTGGGCCAAGACTGTTGTCAAAAACTATAAATTTAATCATCTTACAAGCCACTGCAAGATCATCAGAGCTACCATAAGGACTGAGCCTTGGGCAGCTTGAGAATAAGAAAATGATTAAACCTCTGGATCTGGACGATTTCCTTGTGTTTACGACAACCTTTATACTTCAGTTGTTACATTTAAGAGAACGTCCATTACACTCCTCACATTTGTCCTCCCACCACATTTACAACAAACGCGATGAGTGTTCCTACACTTAGGTGAGACATGGACTAACATTTGAAACAGCGAATAGTTAGATATTCATCAAAGCATATAGAGGTAAATAATCACTACTTCTTATAAGCTGTCACATGATGTCAATCAAATTCTTCTATTTGGTTAATATAACTAAGAGTGAGAGAAAGATGATGAATGGACATGTACATGGACAATTTCGGTTGAATTCTATCATAATCTGCCTGTAAACTATACACGTGAATTACCCTTGAAGTTCTAGCCTTTGTACTGTTCTACAGCTGATGGTGGGTGGAGTAAGTGGATGGAATGGAGTGAGTGCTCAGTAACCTGTGGAAATGGAACAAGGAAAAGACATCGTTTCTGCACTAATCCGCCACCAGATAGACATGGGAAGACATGTCCTGGTAACAAGCAGCATACAATCTATTGTGAGAAACAGACATGCCCAGGTAAAATATGTATTTATCATACTATATACACAATTCTCAATTACCATTTAGTTGCATGCTTCACAATAACCACAGTTTGTATACGTACAAATAAATCCAGAATGTTATGTTAATGTTTACGGACATGCAATAATGAGTAAGTTGATAAAATATCTGACAATGGACTACATACAAATCTGCAAATTCTGTCTGCCGACTATTCCCGATATATCAAAGGAAGCATTCTCGTGAAATGGATATCAGTTGTGATCGAACATACATACTAGTAGAAACAGTTATTCCAATGCGGTAGACGTCCAATGTCTTCAAGTTCTTAAACGTTCATCCAATGTATTTGCCCCGTTGTGTTGCCTTGCTCTATTTTAAAGAAACGCGCTTTACGTTCTACTAAATATTTATGCTTTACGTATCAGTTTGTGAAGGGGATCACGCGTATTTAGTCTTTCAGGTCACTATACTTCTTGATCGATCGTTATTGAGGGCCACGGTCCCTAACACGGTGACCTAACTTTATTTGATGGCGATATCCAGCCCTCTTTTATATTGTGTTTGTCAATGAAAAGCTTCATATTTTAATTTTCTCATACTAGTTTAAATAGTATATGTGATATTTTACTAATTGTCCTTCGATGACAGCTTTTTATAAAGTATTCTAAGATTTATTCTTAATTTATGAATTTCTGTCGTCGTCACGATATGGCTGAAATATTGCCGACATGACCTAAACTCACTCACTCACTCGTTATTGAGGGATGTACATGGTACAGGAAGCAGTAGTTGTTTGAAGTTAGGGTGTTGATAATCGTATTTCAGCAATAATAGTTTCCATTGCACACACAAGCAACAGCAAAGATTTCAATATTATTTACTTTATGTATTATAAAAATAATCATCAGATGATAATCAGTTGCTCAAATGTAGCACAAGATATTATTTTGACTTGCCGAGGTTCACCATGGCACACATGAAACATTCACATTTCAAGGTGAAGATTATCTGTTCTCAGTATCGTGTATCGAGTCCATGCCTGGCATCATCGCCCCTTGGTAACAATCAGAGTACGAATTGAGGCCTGGGGAATGTTTACCTTCTCTTCCTGCAGTGCTTGTGACAACTATTGGAGGTCTTGTGGTTGTTGCTGACGTGATCACAGGCATCTTATAAATGTTCGTTAGGGTTCACATCTGGAGACCATGGCAGTACTAGGATGTACAGTCCGTTTGAGTCAGAAACGGACCGATGAATTGTAAATTTTATCATTGTACAAAATTACCACATATATATAAATAGTACACATGTTTATCATTTACTAATACCCAACAGCTTTCTTATATTTGAAAATTGTCCGGACTCCACAAAAAAAGTTGTTTAAGAAACTATCATCATTGAAACGTAACAGCCACTATCTCGTCGTGCACGGGATACACATGCCTGATGAAAATTGAAGTTGAATGCTGACGTGAAACAGTTGATGATTAAAATGTACGATTTTTTCCGTGCTGAAGCCGAAAGGGGCAAACCATTTAATGCCATTAATAAATTCCGTAAGCGGGCAGCAAAAGCTTTAGGAATATCAGCAAGGGTACTGACAAATGTTCTGGAACACAAACATTGTGAGGGTGATGCGAAGCAGATAGGGGTCGTGTCAAAATCACACAACTTAAAACGTTTGGACAACTTTCAAAAGAACCTTGTAAGGCAGTCTATCAACAAGCTCTATTCTGAAAACAAATACATGTCGCTGAAAATTTTAAAAAAGCGTTTGAAGCAAGAACACAACCTCAGAGTATCAAAGTACACACTCTGGCGACTCTTACACTCTTTCGGGTATCATTATAAGAAAATTTCGGGGGAGAATAGGTCAGTACTCTGAACGCCCTGATATCGTTTGCTTGAGAAATACTTTTCTCAGGGTTATAAAGAAGTAGCGTGAGGAAGGGTTCGAGCCAGTGTACTTGGACGAGACCTGGGTCAATGCCTCGCACACTGCCAGCAGTCAGTGGGTACCCGATGGGGGTGATAAGGGGTCACGTAGAAAGCTGCCTCTAGGGAAAGGAGAGAGACTAATCATTCTCCATGCTGGTTGATCCAGCAAAGGCTTTCTCCAAGGCTGTGACTTGGTATTCAGGCCAAAGTCCACAGATAACAGAGACTACCATTCCGAGATGAATGGTGCGGTTTTTCCTCGATTGGGTACCAGCTCTACCAGAGAAGTCTTTTATCGTAATGGACAATGCCCCATACCACAGCGTACAGGACCCCGACAGTAAAGCCCCGACACATTTCTGATCGCACGGCCTTCAAAGGCAACGAAGCCTCAGCTATATGCGATCATAAAACCCCACAAAGGTGAACCTTTCTACAAAGTTGACAGTTACATAAAAAGTAAGGGTCACGATATTCTGCGACTTTCACCCTATCACTGTGACCTTAAACCCATTGAAATGATATGGGGTATTGTCAAAGGAGACGTTGCCAGATCAAACACAACTTTTAGATTACGTGACGTAGAGGTTTTGGTTAAGGAATCCCTTAACAAAATCACGACTGAAACTTGGCACAACTGTGTCAACAAGGTAGCTAACGTCATTGAACAAGGTTACTGGTCTCGGAATGGCTTACAACAGGCAACTGTGGCACCACTTGTCATCTCTTTAAGTCGTGACTATGACACTACGACGGACGAGGAACCGACAGGTCTCCCGGAATAGATTTTGAGATGCCCCCCATGACTGGCTGTTCCGTTTCTGCGGTTTCACCCCGCCGCGACAGATAACAACTTTTGCGTTTTCAATGATGATAGTTTCTTAAACAATTTTTTTTGTGGAGTCCGGAAAATTTTCAAATATAAGAAAGCTGTTGGGTATTAGTAAATGATAAACGTGTACTATTTATATTTATGTGGCAATTTTGTACAATGATAAAATTTACAATTTATCGGTCCGTTTCTGACTCAAACGGACTGTAGTGGTGGCTAAAACAAAAGCCGTTGCCAGTCTATCGTGTGAGTTTGGGCGTTGTTGTGTTGAAACATTACGTTTGCATTCTGCTTTATATGAAGGAAGAATGTGTGGCCGAAGAATGTCGTCTGTGTAACATTGTGCCGTAAATTGTCATGGACGTTCATTATACCAACAACCCTGTTTCGAGCATAATGTTCCCCACGACGACTTCCATCTGTACGTAGAAGCGGAAAAAAGGAGACACGTCACCTAAACAGACACGTTTCCATCTCTGTTGTGGTTATATGTCGTATCCTTGACACCACTGGCGTAGCGACCGACGATGCTGATCAGTCGGAATACCGGAGCGCGTAGACGGTGACTCACTCCCTGGGCTGAAATCTAACGCAACCTTGGTATTGCTGTGGTTGGTACGGTCAAACTCCCAGCGTAGACATCTGATTGGATAAAAAAGCCAACCAAGGGAGATAATAAGGTCATCGGCTCGAGCCGTATATGCATCCAGGGTATAGTGAAGATTTATCGGAACGTATACCCTGGAGAAAATCGAGGATGGGATAATCCTGGATAAAAATTATGGTTAACACATTTTCGGGAATCACATTTAGAACACACACAAACAAATTCACCAAAAATGGTACCATTAAGATAACTCAAAGTCAGTATGGTGTGTGGCATCAATGGGCGTCGATGACGGCGTTGCATCGTTTGTGCATGGAATGAATTAGCCGGTTGATGAAGGCCGTAGTCACTTGGGTCCATACTCTGCGGAATGCCTGATCGAGTCCAGCCGCAGCTGTCGGCCTTGGTTGGAGGTCATTCAGTCTTCTTTGAATCTCGTCCCAAGGGTGTTCTACTGGACTTAAATCCGGACTCCAGACTGAGTGAAGGCCCTTGTAGGATTTGGATGCCCTGTTGTCTTAGGACACATTCTGTGACGTCCAAAATGTGGTACAACGTGGGTGTTATGTCTTGGTCAATATAGTGAGCAGCTGTCACGCCATTTCCTCGTCCTGGACCGAGATTCTGGAACACCAGGTTCAGACTGATTGCACCCCGCACGATGGTGCTTGGACCATCCCATGAGTCTCTTTCAACGATACACACATATGAAAACCGTTCCGCACACCTTCGTCATACTCTCACTCACTCATCAGAAAAAGCACAGTTTTCCATTGTCGATAACGCCATTATCGGTGCTGAGTGCCCATCGCAGTAGGTTTTGGCGGTGACGAGCGGTGAGGACAGGATCACGATATGGTCAGTGACAGCAGAGGTTTCTTCCACACTGTATCGGCACTCAGTGTTGTGGGTCTGTTGTGAGTCCCAGTGGTCTGGCCCGCTGTTTCCGTCGCTCTGGTGAAGCGATGCTGCGGATGGTTGCACATCATCTGTTGGTCTTGACGTTGTGATGTTACTGGAGATCTTGGATGCTGTTAGTGGCCTGATACCACTTCTGGAATCGGTAGAATGTCCTAACATGAACATTACAATGATTGGCTACCCTCTGTGCAGTCTGGCCAACTTGCAATCGTCCCAAGGCTTGGTTCCTCTGATTTGTCGTAAGTCGTAGCATGGCAATTGTGTCAAAACAAGAAAGATTTAAGGCGAGTTTGGGACTCGCTTTCATTGGTAGGGTTGTCATGATATGCAAGCGTATTTTCATTTTCACGAATGTCATATGGAACCTCAACCGCGTCTGCCTCTTTAGGTGCTTTTTCATCAGAAAAAAACAATGATGTCAATTTGGATTGAATAAAATGTTAACAAAACGGTACGATCTTAATAATAACACCACCTTGAAAGAACAAAATTTTGTATTTCGTTTTGAAAGGTGACGTTTCTTTTTGCGGTCTAGTATATATGTTCAGCGCAGAAGGAGTTTGTTTTCTGAGGACGATCTGGAGATCAGAAGAAGATTCAGTTTGAGAATACCATCACCTGTTAAAGCTTACCTGAGCACCGAAAGTAAACACAACTCCGGCTAAAGCATTCTTAAAGTTAATACGTAACTCTACCACAAGGATCGTGGGAAGAACATATATTTAAACGAAACTTAATTGTTATCCTGCCAATAACATCATTAGTGTTAAGGGGTTGTAAATTTCAAATTTTCAGCAACTCAACAAGGCCAATATACAGGAAGCAATGCATGGAATGATGAATGAACATTCTCCTTGAATTCCAACTTAACTGTTGCCAGATTGGCAGGAAAACTGTGCATGCCATTATTACTCATTATGTAGCGATTGCTGCGCATATGATGGCTGCCATGTTGGACATGTGAGCTAACTACTCTCAATCATTCATGAATCGACTAATTTCAAGAAATACATCCGTTGAAATACATACAAACTGCGCTGAGTATACAGTTGTATGGATATAATTTTAATTATACTTCCAGAATGTAATAAGGAGGATCTAGTGGCTGGGAAAGGCATAATTAAGACGTGTGACATACAAACCAAGTCGATAACATGTCAAGTCAAATGCAAGCATGGCTTGGTGTTTCCAGAGAAGCCATTTTTATACACCTGTGGATATGGCATATGGACACCAACAAGACAAACTGTCTCATGTACAGGTGGGTTTTTTCAGTGTTAACTTATTTACTTTAGGTGCTGTGCTATTGACGTATACGTTTTTCTCATTATATACTCAGCAGCAAAAACAACGTCAGTACGAATTCCAAATTAGATAGGCACTGTAATCAAATCATTACAGAAATGGACATAATAAGCGGATCAAAAACATTTTTTGTATACAATATTCTGACACAATAACCCGGCACAATTTCAAGACATTACGTGAACGTTTGCAGTCCATTCAGACCCTTGACTTCAGTATCTAGTGTGACCACCACGAGCGGCAATAAATGCAGCACAGCGTCTATGCATGCAGTGCACCAATCGATTGATAAAGGCCATTGGAACCTGGAACCACACTCTGAAAAAGGCCTGGCGCAATAATTCGGCTGTGTTCGGCTTTGGTATGACATTATTCAGTCTCCTCTGAATTTCATCCCAAAGATGTTCAGTTGGGTTTAAATCAGGACTAAGGGCTGGCCAGTGCATAATGTTGATACCGTTCTGCTGTAGGAAGTCCCGTGTAGCTCTGGCAGTATGGACCCGGTCGTTATCATGCTGGAAAATGTTGTTCCGGTGACGTGCGAAATGTGATATGACGTGGGGGTCTCAGAGCTTGGTCGATGTAGCGCACTGCTGTGATGCCGCCTCCTCTCCCTGGACCAAGGTTCTGGAACACCACAGGACCCATTCTCTGGTTCAGGCCTATTCCACCCCATACCATGATGCTTGCACCTCCATATGTCTCTGTCCATAACATATTGGTCTAAATAACGCTGGCCACGTCGTCGCCATATTCTTGTTCTGCCATCTGCACTTGATACGCAGTACCGACTCTCATCTGTGAATAGAACAGTTCTCCATTGCCTGTATCGCCAGTTTTGGAGTTGTAGGGCAAACTGTAGACGTTCATGCTGATGACGAGGGGTGAGGATAGGTCCACGGTAAGGTCTACGGCAATGGAGGTTCCCGCTGTTAAGACGTCGGTGTACTGTATCAGTACTGATTGGTGTTCCGTGTGTTCCCACTGTCTGGCGTGCTGTTTCGGATGCCTGCATGAAAGGATTCTGTACATGCTTTCGCACAACATGGCGGTCTTGTTGTCTTGTGGTCACCCTTGGTCTGCCAGTACGGGGCCGATCATTTGTGGTGTTGGTGGCCCGGAAACGTTGCTGCAGCCTGAAGATGGTCCGAACGTTGACCTGGAAGTGATTGGCAACGGCCTGTGCAGTGTGGCCAGCTTCAAGTCTTCCTGGCGCCGGGTTCATCTGAGCTGTCGTAGGTCGCGGCATCCTGCTGACGTTGTAAAGTGAATGTTTCAACCAGGTTTGGGGATGCATTTTATAGGACTGGTCCTTGTTAACGGCACGTGCAGCATGAGTTGGAGACAACATGGAGAACACCATACCATCTCCGAGATCAGGTTGCGTTTTTTAGACCATTTCCTGGGTTACATTCTGAGTTTGGGAAGGAATGTCTTTGCTCAGGTAAAGTTGGAGATATTGTCATAAATATACAATCAAAACATTAAATGAGTTTACAGTTATCCGTTTCTGTGAAGGAAAATTCCAAACTGACGTTTCTTTTGCTGCCTAGTATATGTATATATAGCTGTAAGGCCCCAGGCCCATGATACAAAATTCATGGCAGTGCAGACGTCTCCATACATCAAGGATTAATTTCTTATTAACATGCATGACACTTGGTAAGCTACGTGAATTTCTTTGCATGAACAACATAACACCGTCCCCTTGTAGACAACTCGTCTCAAATGCAGGGTAAAACAGAACTTACATAACCAGAGTCAGTCTTTGCTGGTCCTCTGTCTCGAGCCACCCTGCAACTGGTAAGTGATTGGTCAATATCATATTTGTTATTTCAATGCTCTCACGAGTCACTTTGGGTATCCCCTGCCGGTTACAAATCTGAGTAAGGACATAAGTATAATTATCACGATCGAACTTGTGATTCTATTGACATAAATCTCACATGGGGATATAATGTCATGGTTGAACGTTGTTGTTCTCTTGACCAGAACATAATTTGTCAGGTGTTTGATATATTTCTGAATAACCCGTGTCTCGTTGGCCAAGGGATTTTGGCATTTTCATTTATCTGCCCGATTAGCGGGGACCAGTTGACCACATCTACCTGCCTACTTCGCAACTGTAGAATGTTTCTCATTGACCAGTGATGGATGGTGGATTGATTGGTGGATGGTTAAATTTACAAGTTTTTCTAAATATTTGCCAGAAACATCTACAATACATCTCCATGTCTGCGAGTACATATAACAAATTTTCCGTCTCCTTTGCGACACGATTTCATGAAAACAAAGTGTTTATCCCAAATATAACCATACCCACATTTACACAGTTGACATTTAACATTGTACGCCCAATTTGGCACAATGTTTTTCAGACAAAAGCATCATATTATATCATATTTCTGGCCGGTATTTTATCATTTTATGCAGATATACATACACAAAGGCGACTACATTCACCATAAACATTAACATTTAATTTAATACGTTTCACAAGTAATCTTTCACAGACAGATTCAGTTTATTTAGCAAGGTACATTCACGAACTGAAAGAACGAATTTGTCAAAAAGAAAGATTGGAAAAAGATTTACAGGCACGGTTGTAAAAATTCCACACGTTTGGAAACTGTCCAGTATGATATTTTAGCTTGGATGTCTCCAAGGGCAATTTTCTATTTTTATTTCAAACAAACGATCATGCCCTAGCATACTGGAATCCACACGCAAAGAGCTTGCTCCAAGTAACATTTAAAATGCTATGGTTTGCATATTTTCGTGCTAGTCATTTATCTCCACTTTGTGTTTATAATATTACATTTTCTTATTCCAAACGAGTAATGTGATTGAGCTATAGGTTTCTCACACTTTAAGCATGATTTGAAACCTTGAAATGAAGGCTGAGTTCTTTAGGTATCAGAAATATTATTCCATAATCCTATAGTTGATATAAACAGGAATCATACGAAAGTCTTAACCTTGCAGGAAGTATGATAATATTATTAGCATTCAGAAGGTTATAATTGGATCTTGATCCCACATTATCTAGAGTTATATCTTTTAAGTACACAGGAGCTAAATTATTTTAATTATATAAAATAGACAAAGCTTTCGTATTTTTCTTAGTTCATCTAGTCTCTCCCATGCTGTCTTATAATATATAATTTGCCGTGAGGTATATCTAGGAAGACCCGTAACTATTCTGGCAACTACAATTTCTCGAAAGTTTTCTTCTGTTGTACAGTACAACCATCCCATAGTTAAAAGCTTATCCAAAGTGTGGTCTAATAAATATCTTATAAATACTGTTGATTGCATTTTCTGTTCAGTAAATATTTCAAGTTTCTCATTGATGATATCATCTTGGAGCATGACTTGATAATTTGATTAGTGTGACAAGACCATTTGCCGCTTGCTATAAATGTTATTTCGAGATGTGTACGATTGATTACCGAAATGATTTACTTTCCGTCAAAAATATATATTCAATTCTTCAGTTTCATCAATCATTAAAACAACACTGCTTCTGGGGTTTTTCAGGATTATATAAGACCAACCAGTCTTTGCTCTAGCTATATAAAATGTCTAGAATGGCATTAAGAGAAATTTTGATGTCTTTGGTACATTTCGATGATCCCTGATGATCCCTGGGGGACACCAGCTGTTAAATATCTGGGTTTGGATATAGTTCCATTTACAAACATCACTTATGTAGCTCGATATCCACTGTAAAGCCGGCCTCTAATGCCATACATCTCTAATTTACGTATAAACCCGTTCTTTGTGCCACACACGATCAAAAGCTTTGGATACATCGCAAAATATCATACTTTTCTTCACTGTCGAATGATGTACAAATGTTATGATAAAGTTCAATGGATTGGTGGACAATTGAATGACTTGCATGAAAGCCTAACCGGTACTTACATGATAGTTTGTTAACATGGAAATGGGTTTTCTAGTGTTTTTTCTTTGTTTAGCTGCAGACATTTTATGACATCAGATATTTCCTTCCCAGAAATTATTATTTTATCTAACTGGGTTGTCATTTGGACGAATATTTATTATCTTTTAAGGAATGCACGTTTTCACATGTTGAGTAAATTTGTTATGAAATAATGAACAAGCATCATTAACATTTGTTGATACATCATACACGTCCAAGTCCAAGTCAGTACTAATACATGGGTTAGAAAAGTCAAATAAATTTATGCTAAATCCTGTTATGGGGTGAAAAACTGAAAAGTTAAAATTTTCAGAGAATATTTTTAAAATCTCATATTGAGAACCAAATGTACTTCTATATGAATATTTCCAAAAAGAACACGAGAAACTACTAATATGTGGGCTGGAAAAGCCATATCATTTGAATAAAACCATAGAAAAAAGACTTCAGAGCATACATGTTCTATTTTCACGGGTAAAATAAACACAACTTCAGGAACATGCAATAGAGTTCCTATTTTTGTCTCTTCAAAGTTATGATTTATGTGAAAGAGAACTATCCCCTATAAATATGAAGAAGCTGTTCTCACATGTTTGAAGGTACAGATGTCTCTTTATTGTATATATAGTCGACAACAGGTACTGACACCAAATGGTTACAAATTGGCACAAATCGCACGGAAAGGAAAAAAGGAAGGAGGAACAGCAGTTGTTTATCGAAACAGCTTCACATGTTCGAATCTTATTGTTACTCAACTCAAATACTACCTATGAAATCATCGGATTACAGATGAAGTTAAATGCGGAAGTCTTAAATTTGCTCACAATTTACAGACCACCAAAAAGAACCAACATCTTCTTTGATGAATTCTCTGAACTTCTGAATTTTCTGACAACCTTAAGTGGAAAACTTGTGATCTGTGGAGATTTTAACTACCACGTTGAAAATGCTCAGAACAAGGATGCTGCAAATTGCCTAGAGCTTATAGACACCCACAACCTGCTCCAACA